GAATCCTCCATCGGCCATCATCAAATCAACACCAACATTATTCGTTCCCCGCATCACAACCTTCAATAGTCTCATCTCAAAGTCGCACGTTAACACACACGCCATTTCTCAATCAAATGATCTGAACTAAACTCTCAACTCATTACAAATGACCACAATTCGCTCACCTCCTCCAACGATATAATATTCTCGGGATTCATCACATCACCGTCACCGTGCTTACCATAATATGGCTCAAAATATTCTGGCGCTGAGGCTGTGAAACGCTCCAGCTTGAAATCATCCTTACCTGCAAACCACCCTAATAATAAACTGCAATAGAACAACCAATCACATAGCAATTACTTGAACAAGACCGGAAATTGACCATATCTCAGAATCACATCAATACATCCCAATATCTCAATATATCTCCCAAAAATTTAATGCATCTCACAATCAGATCAACCCAAAACCAACCAACGAGTGTGAAGCCGAATCCTTTCGCATTATAAAATGCCTTTCGCCATAAGACATACTCAGTGAAGCCACCGGGTCCTGCACAAACATCAGCAAAATAGAACAACGGCAGTTTGCGATCACAATTTTCAGCTTCCTTCGTCGTCACCGCAGTACCGTCGGCTTGTTTTCGCACTTCAACTGGGTTCTTTCGCTCCAACGTTGATGGATTCTCTTTTGTCAATAACCAATCGAAGACACGATCCAAATTCGCCACTTTCATTGCTGCTCTTAATCACAAAAATAAATGATGGCCAGAATTATTATCATCTTGTTGTTCAGAATGATCATGATAATGATGATTTTGCTACAATGATTTTGTTATCAACACTGTTCACAAGTTATGTTCAAATAATTACAGAAATGATGATTTTGCCGGTAAACCCAATTACTAATTCATTATATCAACACTTGTTCAGATAATAACAATAAATTCCAATTTAATGCAATGTAAAAGGCCGTCCAATATATAATAAGACCCCAAAAAACAACCGATATTATCAAATTTTGATAACATCAGAATTATCAAATTTTCGATGTATACTAAAATACCTATTCTGAAAGAACGCCGAGCCAATGGTCTCGTATGGATTCGCCCTGGATCGTGCCTCTCTCAAATCCCGATCACTCAAATCGTCAAATACCGATTTCGCCTTCAACATCGCTCGTAACACCTCTCCATCGCAATACTGATCCTCATCGTCAATTATCTCTTTCCTCTGAAATTCGCATTCCACAGTATACATTCCCATCGTAAACAACCACTCATATTGAATCAACTCGAATCGCAATAATCACCCCTACCCACCTTCCCAATAACCATCCATTCATCACAAATTTTCCCAACGATCTCGCTACGTTTCTCACCCGAAACCTCCAACCACAGAACATGCTCATCCACCGACTTCTCCTCGATTGATGAGTCCCATTTTGCTGTCAGATCACGTCCAATACTCTGAATCAAGTGGAGGAATAAAATAACCACAACAGTGCAATATCCATCACAATACGGGCAAGAATGAATATGCAACCATACGAATGTATACAGTAATCCTCATCAGTAATCGCCTTTTTCTGCATTATCCTATGGGTCTTTCAAAAATCTAATCTCATTGCGATTTGACATTTTCAGATCTTAATCTCATTTGAGATTTATATAACTCTTCATTCCATTACTTTAGATCCATCCATCGAATACGATACGTACCAAATCATAACCTCACAGACACAAGCTCATTGAGATTCTCAAATTCTTGCACTGCTATGAATATTCTCAAACATCGTCGTATCCACACGGTATCTATAATATCACCATCGAAACTAGACGAGAGTCAAATAAACACCTGAGTGGACTGATGTCCTAAACCGACCCGACCTCGTTGTGTGGACAACGGTATCGGTTCGGTACGTCCTTGACCGCTTTTACCCAATCCACCACCCCCATAACCCATCTTGGCCAATAACGCAGCACCTCGATCGTCACTTTTCGGTTGCCATGCACCCGACGAGGATGCCGAGACCTGTTGTTGCTGCCTGTCCAGCTCACCCTCTCGACTATCAGATGAGCCAAGTCCTGAGCCAAAACCCTTCTGGAATTGCTCGAATGACTGATTATAATCACAAATTTTATCATTTTACAATCCTGCTTTTCGATTTTTGCTAATTCAATTCAACTGATGTCTGGATGAGTATTTATTTATTTATGTTACGTTATGTTTCGAACTCATCAAGTTATGATTAATTATTACTTGGACATCGAGTGGTTGTTTCGTCAATCGCAGTGAGCGATCGACGGAATATTCATTTTATTAGAGTAATGACTATTTATTGAAGTGGTATTTGACTGCGTTTAATT